TTTCATTCAAGAAAAAATGTGCCTGAGCCGGGTATCTATAATGACACCAGCACCATTGTCAGAACAAGTTAGCTACCACAGGTCTAGGACCTCTGCATATTATTCTGCCATCATAAGAACCTGTTTCTCCTGTGTGTGAAGTTCCCATCAGGGCAAAAACACAGGACAGTTGACCTGAAACATCAGCCATGCCATCATGTCATGACCCCACTCTGCTGGGAGTTGGTCTAAGTCTTGGAGTAGATACAAGACAGAACAGCAAAGACGACACAGGTGGGAAAGTTACTTAGGCATAAGGTCATGACGTTGTATTGCATAGCAATAGGTGATCAGTCTTTTGCTGTCTTTTTTCTTTTTCTTTTACAGCTAAACATTAAAATGAAGGTCTATTAAATAAAGCATACTTCAAATCAACTTTTGCTCTATTTTTATGTGATTATTAGGCATCAAATCCTAACACCAATAAGGACCTGATCCTGTTCCATTTAAATTTATTGGCAAATAAGCACTTCATTCTGTGAAAACAGATAAAACTCCAAAATATGCCCAAATTTTAAACAATGGTGGACTTTTATTGCTTTGCAGGCAGCCAAAAAAAACCCCTTCTCATTGGATGCCTCCGAGAGGACATCTGTGCCATGAAAGATTTAGAGGTGCACAAAGCAAGTTTTGTACCACCACAGCAGAGGCATTATTAAGCTTGCAAAGCTGAGCATACTATTTCCTCAAGAGAAATAAAAAGTTCAAACCTACCTGTCCCTATCTGCAGCATCAATATAGGAGGAACACAAAAAAACACAGGATATAAACCCCTACCAAAGACAGTCTTTTCAAGCAGAGCTTAAAATCATTAAATGTTTCAAGGTGTTAGAAAATTGTCTAAATACAAAGGGGTTTAATCCCAATATTAGGTTATTCAGAATGTTCAGAAAACGTTTTTAAATTCCATACTCTTTTTTTTTTTTCTTGGTAAGGACAAAACCTGACTGCCCTTTGTGTTTTCGTCACCTCCTGGAGAAACAGAGAGAGTGCAGACAGCACAGCAGGACTCTTCTATCCTGGCATAGCTGGGCAGGAGCCAGCTTGAATTCTTGCAACACAGTCCTCCCAAGCACAGCAGGTCTGAGCCAAAACAGAGTGGGTAGCGGGTACCTTTATCGAGGTTGGTTTGACTTCCACTCTCCCCAGGCTACATACTGATTCACAGAGGTCAATGATGCAAGCACTGCATGCTATGCCTTCAAAACAAAATTGCAAAAGCTTCTTCTGACTCTGCATGCTTTGCTGGCCTTCAAGAGCACTGCAGAGGTGAGAGCCATGCATCAGAGGGTTCAGACTGCAGAGTCCTGTGAGCTGGCTGCAGGCCATCACACTACCTGTATGTGGTACAGTATCACCAGAGAGCAAGCCAGGTAGATGCCTCTCGGGGGAACCACGGCTCTGCATCTGATTCATCTTGTTTTCTTGGTTCACAGATTGAGGCTCTTACGTTTTGACTGGTGTGCTAAACACATCACACATACTGTTTGTATGAGGCACTTGGCACACCACACTTTTTTTTTTTTTTTTTTTTGGACAGGTCATGATTTAATGAGAAATTCTACGACTTTCCTAATCTGAGTTTTTCTGTGAATAAGCACTGTCTAGTTCCAGGATAATGTATGCCTTCATCATAGCTATAACTGGTAAGAGCTGTAAAAGGCAAGGAAATTTCTGGTATTTGGGCACCCAAAAGTTCTTCAACAGAGCGTTTGAAACAAGAATGTCTTCCTTAGCAGCATCCTTGGACCAATCTTTCAGGAGGAGAATATTTGCGTAGCTTCCTTACAGGAATAAAGTGTAGACAAAAGACACAAAGAAATTATTATACGTCCATCTCAAATTCAACTATATACATATTGCAGGCTATAACATCCCATTTCCTCTCTAAACCTCAGATTAATATTTGTTCAGATTCTGGGAAGTAGCATGAAAGAGAAAAGAAGCGGCTCATACTTAAAGATTGTGATGAGGCAATGAACTTTTGAATACACTTCAAAACATTTGGTATCAATTTTTCTTCTGGGAATTTAGAGGTACAAGTTGGGCAACAACATAATCTGTCTTCATTGATGTCTCTCAAGAGATACCAACAGCTTTAGTGAGTAGGGCAACCTCAAAAAAACAGTAGTACTGATAATGGTGATGGTAGTGGTAGTGATTGCAGTAATAGTAGTAGTAGTAGTAACAGTAGTAGTAAATGTAAGCATAATAATAGCAACCCTATGCATTTACCCATGGGGAGTGGAACTCCTCAGTTCTAATCCCTGCTCTAAAGTTTGCCTGTTTTCCGTGTCAAGCAACCGTTCAATAACACCAGTAAGCTCTCCTTGGGGACAGCTGCCCTCCAACATAAGTACTCAAATTTCTAGACTAAAAATGTTACTTCTCTGTATTTCAACTCTTTGCCTAGCTGAAGCTTGACTTATGAACCCTACATTCACTGCAGTAGGAGCAGATTAGAGATCTTTTGAGCTGGTTTATGGTTAAGTAGTTGGACATACTCCAAAATAAATTGCTGCAGTTAAGGATGAGCTTCAACCCTCCAGATATAAAAAAGAATTTAACCCATTGAACTATATCAAACCAAGTTCACTAACTGGTGATTTAATACCTGAGAAGTTGCCTTGTTTGTATAAGTGTAAAAGAATGGAGCAGAGGTGGCTCCTCCTTGATATTAAAAGAACCAAAAAAAGTTGCAGCCTTCAACTTTCATGAACATAGGACTGTAAGAGAATTCAGTCATACAATATACTTTGATTTTATCACAGGTTCCTCCATCACATAATTCTCTTCCTAAATCAATCAGATCCTCTGCTGTTGTTAAATATAGTTAGGAAATCATAGAATCTTAGAATCATAGAATGGTTTAGGTTGGAAGGGACCTTGAAGATCATCGAGTTCCAACCCCCCTCCCATAGGCAGGGACACCTCCCAGTAAACCAGGTTGCCCAAGGCCACATCCAGCCTGGCCTTGAACACCTCCAGGGATGGGA